GGCAAGGAGAGTTTTCATCAAGTCGTGTAATTGGTCATCCGCAAATTCACGCCATATAGCGGCTAGCCTGTCGTCGTGCAAGCGGCTCATGATGGATGCGTCCAATCGTTCGGGTAACACGCGAAGCAGTTGTCGAGAGGTGTTATGCAAATCTTCGCATTGCGGTAACCTATCATCGCGATCTGGATATCCCAGTACTGCGCTTTGCGTGCCGACATCCAATCACGGTTAGTAGGCCAATACAATAATTAAGTGACATAAAACTCACAAGCTCTTCTCAGCTCCTTCTCATCAGCGTCTACGAATATGAGCCGGTAGATCTCACGCCATCGCTCCTCTTCCGACTTCCCCGCTGCACCTTTCTTGGACCGCATCGCTTCGAATGTCGCATGGCTTAGAGTCGAGATCTCTGGGCTTGGATTTTCCACAAGCTGACATAGCTGGATATTGCGCTGATGCATGGCTAGGTCTTGTTTCCCTGTCGTGTTTCCCTGGAATTTGGCCCCGCATCGCTCACATGTATAGTATAGGTGCACACGTTCCAGATGTTGTTTGAGTCTGTGAATACCGAGGAAGCCAGGCCCGACGCAAGAGTCGTTTTCACAGCGTTGTGGGTTGCGTACGTAGAAAGGGCAAGCGAGACCGGGGTTGGTGGTATCGCAACGACGGCGTCGGGGCTTTTTGCGGGACGGTGGGTTCGTATCGTTGGTAATGGTGTCTAATTTGGGCGGTGTCTGGCAGTCGGCTTCGTTTGCGCGTTTGCATGATGCTTTGTCTACGCTAGGAGTCTTACTTTGAGAGCCGTAGCCGCTGTCGAGGTCTTGCTGTGTCACGGTGGTGAGTGTGGATGACGTCAAACTCGTCTTCGTTAGGCCCGGGGTTATTGATGATGACGCGCCGCATGAACTGGCCGTTTCAATCTCGGCATCGTTGCGGGAATCTGCGGTGAAAAGCTCGTCAACACCATATGTTACCGGCAAGTTGATATGACGTCCATGAGCCAGGTCCGCTCTATCAACCCCGAGGCCAGGCACTTTCTCACCATCGATCGACATCAGCGTTCTCGTGTCATCGTGACTGTCAAACACCTCCACAGCTTCCACCTCCTGGCAGCCATCATAGAATGATGCAAATGACGACAAGTTCTGCTGAACCGTAGAGACCAAATCATCAGCTGTATGCAGTTCTAGAGAACTTCCCATCTTTGGCACATGTACACGTGTCATTCCTGAAGCCTCGTAGGTCACGATATCGTTCATTGCGCCGTCCGTTGTAATTTCCAGGACGGAAGGGTAGTGACAGGCGTAGTTGTCAAGAAAGCTGGTAGCGTCGCACATGGAGCATGCAGCCCATAGTGAAACACGGTTCTCAGCGAAGCCGCATTGACAACATGTCCACATGCGCAAGTGTTCGACGTGCCCGTTCGCAAGCGAGTAGAGTACGCTCTCTGCGCAGTGCGCGCATCGCCAGTGTGTGCCTCCGGAACGGAAGAGGGTCGAATTTGAGGGTGTGGTCTTCAGATAATCGGAGGCCGGAGGGGCGATCGCGTCGGTAGAGCTGCGCGGGAAGTCAAATGTATCAAATAAGGTTTCCATGATGACGATATGTTGGAGTCGCGGATATCCTAGGCCCTAAAGTCGACGAGAAGGCTACAATTGTATTGATCAGGCGAGCATTACTTCCAGAGATGTGCCGAGACGTCCAAGCACCTACTTTGAACGCGCAAAGCTGCGCAGACTCTCAGCCATGGGGCTTTGCGCGCAAAATGCTTGGTCATTGACACGTTCAGCTTCCCGCATGATGCATATAAGCAGAGACGTGTACCAATCAGGAGCGGTGGTACGAACTTGCAACGGTGACACGCAGCAGTCAACCTGGTGTTCGAGGATACCAGCTGGACGATCGTTGTAGGTTCCCCTGTTCTCGGTGGAATGCGAGGGTGCTCCTAACCCTTGGAGCGGCGTGGAGAGCTCGGAAGCAGTGGTGGGCGGCGCACGTTGAAGGACATCGAATGAGAGGAGAGCGATGTTGTAGGCTATCAAAACAGCGGATCCGATGCTGGAGCTTTCGAGTGTGAAGGCAACCTTGGAAGGGTTCGGTCGTTGAGGGAAGTGTGTCGTTGATACGGAGTTCAGCTGGACCCCGTCTATAGTGCCGGTGGAGTTCTTGTAGCAAGTGCAGCTGTCGGTCGCATGTGTCTCCTGCTAGGGTTGTATTGGGTGCGTGTGCACTTTAGACGCACCCGTCTCTCTTGTCCAAAAACACCGTGCCATAATCGCCGCTGTGCCTGGCCGGCAGAACGTCGGTGCAGGGTCCATGGTCACCCACCTTCACAGGCCAAAGCGCAGCTTGCAGCGCTAGCAAGCGATCATGTGACCGTTAGCGCGCCAAGCCCTCAGCGCCCATATCAACCTCGCGCAGCCCGTCCCCTTCTTCCCTCCTTAGCTCTCTTTGCCTTTTGGCTTAGGTACGTCCCCCTTCTACAAACACCTTCGAGACACCTGCTGACTCACCCCTCCAGATCAAGTGTAGTATCTGTTCTTTTCAGTTTAATCTCTGAAACGTAAGCCTTCTCTCACCTCTTACCCTTTTCGGCATCGCGCTAACATCTCCCAGGTCACTACGGTGACTTCAAGATTATTCTTATTTTTGTACTCGGGTCTTGGGTCCCTGGGCTTGCTCATACTCCGGACCACAGTGTCGCCAGTATCGCACTATCTCTGGCTGACGCGACCACTTTTTCATTAAGTCTTCTGGCTTGCCAGTCGCTTGAGGAAGAAGCTTGCTTTCTAACTCCACACATCACTATTCAGCTTGTCATAATGATTGATCGTGCATTCGACTGGCTCCGCGTGAGAGCGTGATCATTTGTGATGCTGTACTGACCGCTCTGAGATCTCTGCCAACATGCACAAAAGCTCTTCCTGTCCTTGTTGACAGCAAGCTGGCTCAACGCCAACCACTGAGACCTTCTCGTGTCACCGTCGTGCCCTTCTCGTGTTACCGTCGTGCAGACGCTCGTCCGTGAATGCTAACTTCTCGCCGCCATCCGTGGATGTGTCGCTAGTCGGCCGATGAGCAAAGTCGCACCGACTGCTAGAGCCAGATCGTGGCTACACGCAGCATCTCGACAAACTGTCTAAACTCACCTGCTCGAGTGGCTACATGTTAGTGACCCCAGCTAGTCTCCAACTGCGTTCACTAGTCCTCCCATATATAGAGCCGGTGCTGGTAACTTGCGTTAAGATAGTTGGCCCACCTGACTGCGACATCTGCGCGAAAAGAAAGTTGCGGAAGAACGAAGAGTTTGTACAAAATTTGTTATTAAGACCCTTCCCAAGCTGTGTCGATGTGACTAGCTTGGATTAGAAAAACCAAAAGAATTTCCCACTTTTGTACTCGAACCACCAACGATCATACCTTCGCACAAGATTTGCTTTCTCGAGACCTACAGCGAGCACTATTTCGTGTCTATGGCACTTAAGACGATCTTCCAGTAGTGGGTCTAGGCGTTTCAGCAAGAGCTCTTCAATCCCCATTTGCAAACCCAAGCCATAAACGTAGCCGCACACCAAGGTCGGCGAAGATGATGAGACCGTCATTTCATTGACGACAACATTGATAAAATCTAGGAATACTCCCAGTACGGTCTTGTTGTAATCAACCGCAATCCTATCTTCTACCCTTACGACACCCATGAAACCGTAAACTTTGTCTCTGAGGTCTTGACACTCGCTGTCTCTGAAGTTTTGGATGCATTCCATCAACGGCATGGATTGATACTGACCACTACGGTGATAACCATGACTGATCTTAAGAAGATATTTGGCCGCGGGTTCAACGTAGAGGTCCCATATCGGGGATGCTGGTAAGCCCTTGAGGTGTAAACAGTTCCATGTGACGCAACGATTCCCATTGATACGGATCTTAATTCGTCTGGCAACCAGTATTTCCTGCACTATCCACAGTCGCGTGAAGTATATGTTCTCCAACAACGATACAACATCCTCACTACGCAGGTCTTTATCGTTGAAACGATCAACCTCTTCTGGGCTCGCTATAGGTATGTCGCCTAGCCAAATGATGACAGAGGTTGCGTTGCTGTATATACGCGACATCATTCCGACCTGGTGGTTTCGTTCCGTGGTATCTGCCTGAGCGATGCAGATTTGATCGATCCATAGCCACGCATCCAGATCTTCTCGCAGCTCCAACAAACATGCGTGCAGAATGTCTCGAATCTTTAGTCCCTGCTCTCCGATGAAGATGTCATGCGATGGCGATGGCGGGCCCCACCGGTAGGACAAAGCGATGTATTCTGGGGCCTGCTCGAGCGGAAAGACTTCGATTTCGCAGTTTATGAGGCCTTGTTCCTCTTTGCGAAGCTTGAGCAGGCGTATCTCGTCTAGAGAACGACTAAGTGGCTGGTGCTTGTATGTTGCGGGCTTCGTTGGCGGCTCAAGGCATGCCTCGTGAGGCTCTCCGATGATTGTCGCATCCCGTTCGCACATCGCGCATTGTCTTTGGCTGTTAAAGTTTCGGGTGCTTCGTTGTCGAGATGAGTTCCGTGTTAAGGCGAGGATGCATTCTAGGCAGACGAGATATTGGTATCGTCCATGGCAGCTGAGGCAATGCGGGGCTGTGCAGCAACCGCGCGTCGTGGCCTTTTTAGCCTTGTGAGCTGACAGCATGGCCATATAGAAAGTGCATGAACGCAAAGCTGGGGAAACAGGCCTCGGCAAAAAATTCTTGTTCTACATAATTCTACAAGATAGGTGAGGTGGTGCCGACATGATGGTGTTGAGTTCCATCTTCCGCCGCCGGAATCTAGCGTTGAGCACAGACCCCGATCTCGCACCACCTGAGCCACCGAAACACTAACAACAATACCGAAACACAACGAGAGCGACAGAACTACTGTACAAATACCCAAGAACGCCTTCCAATCTCGCATGTGCAGAAAAGTTTAGAGATGCCAAAAAACGTCATGTACTGCGCAACTACCAAGGGCAGACGAATACAGGCTGTCGCGTGTAATCGCCGCACTGGTACTCGCCCTTCTCCGCATTCACATCGTTGGGATCCTTGTCGGCCGGATCGTTCACGCAGCCAATGACCCTCTCGCCACACCAGAGCGCTCCCGGGTCGTCGCCGTCGTTGCGGTACTCGCACACCTCTCCGTCAATCTCGAGATCGAGCTCCTTGGTGCCGCCAGGGTACGTTGTGCCAGACTCATCCCACGGTACAGTCTCAAAGGGCCGGAGGAAGTCTTCGCGGCACTCGACGCCCTGCTCATAGTCGGCTTCGAGGAAGAGCCAGTCCATCGTGGGGGCGCCTGGAACATAGGCACCGAGCACTGCGAGCTGCTTGGTTGGGCCAGTCGGCTCTGGCTCCGGCTCCGGCTCGAAATCATCGCAGACGCCACGCCTGGCCTTCTTTGTAGGTGATTCTCGAAACTTATTGTGGAGGTCTTGGATGGCCTGGTCTACATCGCCCATGAATTTCTCCATTCCTTCAGTCTGGAGGGTATTGAGATCGCGGAATTCGAAGAGAGGCACAGAGCGCTCAGAATTGAACATCTTTTCTTGGGTTTTGCCTAGTCTTCCAATGGACCCGTCGATTTCCTTGTCGAACTCGGTGAGCTTATCGTTTTCATCCGATTCTGGGTCTAGACCATGGATCCAGTCACGGATGTTGCATTTGGTATCGCCTTGAGCAAAAGTGTAATCGCCAAATTTGTTGTCGGTAGGCTCGGGACTTTCGGGGGTACCTCCACATACGTCTGTATCAATTCTACGTTTGGTTAGACTGGTCAAACCATCTATAAGTCAAGCCATAACTTACTCGGTTCCGCCACTCTGGTAGCACGCAAGGATGTTGAACAAATCCCAAAGTTTGTCCCCCTTTGATGCCAACTTAGAGCTGACATGCGACAGCATCACGTTAAAATTCGTTCGAGGCGTGAACGATGTGAAGATCTTGGGACTTGAACCCGGTTGGAGAGGATCCTTTGCGTTTTTGGCGTACGATAAGACCAGGGTGCAAAAGGCCAGCACGTCATCCGTGGCCGCTTCCGGACCGATGCCGCCTGGGCTGGACTGGAAGTGATTCTTCGTTACGAAATCAAGCTTCTTGTTTTGAAAACGATCGAGCCCATTGAGGATATTTGGATCGCTCTCATCGAATTGTTCCTTCATCAGGCTGTACAGTGCCTCTAATGGCATCGGCGTGGTGATTTGGGGCTGGTAAGATATCTTCTCTGGTTTCCTATCTTGGCGGGTGATGATCGTCCACTTATTGCATTTGTTTTCGGCTACGTTGACCTTTCGTGAATCTGCGTCCAGTTTTCCGTTCCATGGGTACCAGTCAATCTGAAGGGGTTAGCAAGATTCATCACGGGTCTGCTGGGTGGCACCTACGAGATCCTGGGCCATAGCTGCCGCGACCTTCGCGCCGTTGGTCGCATCATCTGTGCTGCCTACTTTGACCTTGACACCATCAATGATGTACTCAGCCTGGAGTGCTCCAGGTTCGTTGACAGAGTCTGCAGTGAGCTCCCAGTTCGTGCCTGTTCGTTCGGCAATGACCTTTCTCTTTGCGGCGTTTGTATCGTCTGCGCTACATCCCGACTTTGTAAGGCGGAAGTCCGGACTCTCAAACTCGGCACCAATCCCGGCCGTCCCGTCCGTATTGACTCTGTCGGGATCGTCGGCCATTCCATCTTGGATGTCTAGCTGGCATTCCTCTAGGCGCCGTTGCAGAGGCGTACGGATCACAGCTGCAGACGCTGTAAGGACAACTGAGGAACATAGTAGGAACCGCATCGCAGAGGCTCGCTTGGCGCGCATGGCGAAGAGTAGGGAAATTGATAACGGATAAAGGAAGTAGGAGTTAACGATAATAGAGGTGATGATGAAGCAGTGAGAAACTGGCTGTGATGACTTGTGTTGAAAAGAGAGCCAAAACATGTCCTCTTTATAGCCCTGAAATGGAGATAAGTACCAATGCTGACGATCGCATTGAGCCCCCTCATGCTGAGATTGAATGCTGGAAATAGCATCTCCGAGAATGACTTCCTCATGGCTCGCATGGTGCGGGCAGACGGCCGCCCCATCTTGTTGCAATGGAGGCTTTTGCTTAGAAGAAGCTGATGATCAAAATACGAATACGAAGGAGACATGACGAAGACAGTGGAGAGTTGTGTATTTCGGGGGCGAAGATGAAGCGATGGTGGAGAAGAGGAATCGGTTGAGGGAGAGACAAGGCCCCAGTCTGAATCACTGTAAGTCGCAAAGCAGGATTGTGAACGCCCCGTCTGAGTCAAAGGCGCTTTTTCTTGTCTGTTGAGTTGGTTTGGGGAGGAGTAGGAGTCGGTTCAGAATAAACCTGAAGCGTAGGGCGAGGCCGGCTTGGCGAGGTAGTAAGCCTGGGCAGGGCCGTCCAATGGCCTCCCTTCCTTAGTCGCTAAAGGCTTCAGCAGGGTCTGTCCCAGGGGCATGACGTCAGCCCGAGACAACGTCTGCTATACATATCGCGGACCCCAAATCTCTCGCCTGATACTGTGCGCCTAACTAGACTTACCCCAAGGCTATTGTTTTCATACTGCGTCCCTCGAGAGTACACCTTCAATGGTCAGTCAGGGCCAAAATCAGACCCCAAGCTGAGTCAAAATCGCATTCTCCTCGTAACTAGACGTTGCATATACCATTGTTTTCAGGGTTCCTCTTCTCACGAAGTCGTCTACAACGTCGCTATGGCTTTATTGGAATTAGCCGACGAACTCCTCGCGCTCATCGTCGACCATACGACTCCAGAGGGTTTCGAGAGCCTATGTCTGTCCTGCCGCAAGTTCCATACGCTTTGCAAGCCCTTGCTCAAGCATCACAACGAACTCCGCTCGCACTTTCGCAACTTCGATTATCTTCTCAAGGACAAATACCCTTCCCTCACCATCAGGACGCCTTTTGAACTCATAGCCCGAATCGCTGAAGAGCCAGTCGTTGCGCGCTACATCGAGCATGCAGATTTCAAGGCGGACCTCCGGCTACCTGTTGGCGGACGCCTCTGGATCATGGAAAGGGATGGCTATCGTCCTGAGACCGTTCGCGACTTATTTGCCAGTTCGAAGTACTTGTCAGGCACCGAATCGCAGGACTACTTCGAAAAGTATGAACGAGGTCTGGAAGACAACCAATATACTCAGGCTGCCTCGTCGTTTCTTCTAACACTGCTGCCCAATGTCAAGACCGTGGTTCTTCCATTTCGCTGGACCCACGACAAAGAAACCGATAAGCTTTTTGAGGCCATCGTCCACCACGCGCGTCAACCAAACGCCACTTCGACAAATGCCAGTCTCGCATTGGTGACCACCCTGAAGACTGGGTTCTCATATGCAATGCGGCAAGGTCTTGTCCTGAACAAGATTACTCCGCTCCTGGCCCTTCCAAACATCCATACTTTCCACGGCCCCACCTCTATATCCGACATCGAAGCTCGCGAGCCCTCTTCTCCACGTCAACCAATCCCGCCCCCTGTGGGCGGAACACTGGAGATAGCCTATCTGCGCGGCTGCAACCTCGATGGTCCAACTATGCAACACTTCCTGCGCTACACGCCGCGCCTGAAAACGCTCGTTTACTCTCACTTTGACAAGCAACTCAGTCGAGTTTGGGATATCTGCGACCTCGTTACGACTATCGGCAAGGAGGCTGGCAGCCATCTCGAAGAGCTGTCTATAACAAAGCGCGAATTTAGCGGCAAGATCGCGCTTGGAACGGCGACCATGCGCGACTTCCCGCGTCTGCACAAGTTAGAGATCCCTCTTGACCTTGCGACATGCGTCATGAGATCCGCTGCCCACCTCGGAACGGATCCCGCAGATCAGTCTCATGTCAATCTTCTGATGTGTGGCCTAGTCCCTGCTTCGGTCACTCGGTTGTTCCTAACATCAGAAGAGTGGAAAAGCCATGACGATGACACCAACTCCACGGCCTTGTCAGAGACAATCGACGGGGTTCAAGTATTTGAGGGGAGACCGCAACAGCACAAGCAAACCCTCGAAGCCATGTTTCACGGCTTTGCTGAGAAAAAGGACGCGCAGTTACCTTGCCTCAAAGAAATACGCATGTCTTGCCATTGGTCTGCCGACGAGGCTTTGAAAGCCCGATGCGAGAGCTTGCGCACCGAGCTGGAAGGTGTGGGCGTGGAAGCTCACATTCATGCTAATCGGTGGACGCAAGCGATGGATTATGCGGGGAGATCGCCGTAGACATCGTAATGCAAATTTCTTCATCCATAGCTCTCCATAACGTTCGGTGCCTTGCGTGTATCTCTTTGCTGACTGCCCTGCGTTCCTGTCAGCAATTACGCCCTGCAGCTATGGAACGCCGCGCCGAAGTAGCAATGAGTTCAGCAACTCTCTGAACTGGAACGAAAGTATATGAGAGATGTGTAACCAGGCATGGAGTCTGAAGGCCCAAGGCATGTCAACCAGCCATCCTTCGTAATAGCTGTTTCAAAGTGAATCGCGCGGGGGAAGAACAGTAAGACGACGAGGCGTCCATTTTCGGACACCAGGCGCGAAACATCGTTTCTTGCGAATGGCCCGAAAGTTGCCTTGAACGATACTTGATGTGACTACAGTAACAGGCCTATTCCATGTCTCCATAGCCAAGACGTAAGATGGTGGCACGGACATAAAATCTTCTCGAAGAGGTAAAAGATTTGTAATGCTGTGCCTCTCAGCTGACGTCCACGGGTAGGTCTTGTCGCGAAGGATTGCGGCGCTTACACCTAGGTCTATACGCGTACCTACAGGCCGTGATCTTCGCCCCGTAACGTCATGCCCAGATGATCAGGGATGAAGAGACATTCAGTTTCAGCATCAGCACATACGAACATACCCGCCCGCGGGCGGCCTCTTCGCTCAGCCTTATCCGCCTCGCTACCTAGATGAGGTTGTTTTCGGAAGTGCCCGCCAACGCCTGACGCAATTAGGGTCCAAGCAGATCTCATCTACTTCAGCGGTACCTAGCCGCCGAGTCAGAAGAACGATCTAGGTAGCTCCGACATCGAGTCCACATGTAAAGAACACCATAGTCTGTAGATACGTCGTGCCAGAGCCTGCTACCGCGTCTTCGGATGTGAATATCAGCGAGGCTGACTTTGTGAAGCTCAAAGGCGGTTTCGAGCCTGAAGACCAGGACGATGAGTGGCGCATGCGGAATGCGGAGGAGAGCGGTGACGACTTCCTGTTCCAATATGGGCAGGCCGGAACGGGAAGTGAACTGTATATTGTTCATGTGAAGTCAAAGAACGGTGACTGCAACACCGGAGCGCTTCCGGAATATGACTTGAACGATGTCTGGGTTCATGGCGCAGCCGCACTTCCTTTGGATGAGCAAGGATAGCGAGACTCGGACGCGTACCTCGAACATCTCAAGAAGGGATTCGATGTGACTAACGTGGAAGATGGACCTGGCGTGCATGGCGTCTGCAGCGTGTAGCGGATCACATTGCCAGATTGGAGTTGGTTTAGACAAGCTCGAAAGTGGGTCAAGCTTTGGAGGGGCTCGCTTGGACGAGCTTTTGCGGGGATAGCAACGGGTTAGGGCCGGTTGACCATGGAGCTCTATCAGCGATATCACGGCATAGATAAACGGATTGAACTTGCTATAAGTTGCGATATCGCTCTTACTCATCGGTGATATCTTCGTCTTTTACTGTTTTCTTTTCCTCTTCGATATACGCCGTATTTGCGTGTGGTGAGGCTGAGCTCACATTTACGCGTCGCGTCCCCCCGCATTAGCTCCCCGCAGTGTCAACACAGCTATACGCCGTCTTTCTACCGACAACAACTGTCCTGACGACGACCACGATGGCGTCTCTCGCTCGCACTGCTGGGCGTCTTCGAGCCCCAGCTTTTCGCACAAATGCTCGCGTAGCTTCCAGGGCACCAATTGCATCACAGAAAAGACATGCCTCTGCAGCAGCAGCCGCAGTTGCAGAGAGCGGCGAGCATTCCTTCTTCCCAGATGAGCCTCGCCAGCCTACTGTGAAGACTCCAATACCCGGCCCGGAGAGCAAGAAGGCTATCGAGAGACTAAGCAAGGTCTTCGACACCAGGAGCTTGAACATGATGGCCGATTACTCGCAAAGCTATGGCAACTAGTACGTCCTCCATACATCCAGGAGAGAATACCAACTGACATCTTCCAGCATCGCAGACCTCGACGGCAACGTGCTCCTCGACGTATACGCCCAAATCGCCTCCATCCCCGTAGGCTACAACAACCCATCCCTCCTCCTCGCCGCCACCTCCCCCGACATGGCCTCCGCCATCATCAACCGGCCGGCACTAGGAAACTTCCCGCAGCACGACTGGGCCGACATCCTAGAAACGGGCATCCTATCCGTCGCGCCCAAAGGCCTCAACCAAGTCTTCACCGCGCAAGCCGGCTCCGACGCCAACGAGCTCGCCTACAAAGCCGCCTTCATGTGGAAACGCCAACAACAACGCGGCGGCATCGACGCCGACTTCTCCGCCGAAGACATATCCTCGTCCATGAACAATAAAGCGCCCGGCGCACCCGACATGTCGATCCTCTCCTTCAAAACCGGGTTCCACGGCCGCCTCTTCGGCAGTCTCTCAACCACGCGCTCCAAACCCATCCACAAGCTCGACATCCCCGCCTTCGACTGGCCGCAAGCCCCGTTCCCAGTGCTAAAATACCCCTTACATGAACACGAAGCCGAAAACGCAGCAGAAGAACAGCGCTGCCTCGACGAAACCGAATCCATCCTCCTAAACTACCACTCCCCACCCGCAGCCGTGGTAATCGAGCCCATC